TCACCCTCTCTGCCTTCCTGCAGTGACCATGAGGTGAAGGTCCTGAGTGTGTCTCTGGAGCCGCTATTGAAAGCGGTGGTCTGTCAGAAGAAAAGGGAGAAAGAGAAAGAAAAAGATAGAGACAGAGACAGAGACAGAGACAGAGACAGAGAAGGGAAGTGCCTGCATAGGACCATAGAGGCAGGCTGGGGGAGAGGATGGCAGAAGGGAAACTGAGGTCATTGGTAGTTGGAAATGTACACTGGTGGAGGGATAGGTGTTGGATCAGATGGAACCAGTGCCCATAACTTTTATATTTTTCTCCTAAAATACTCTTTCACCTTTTGGTGGCCAGGGATGGACCCCTCCCCACCACCCTGGCTCACAGAGACCTCAGCCAATACCATCTTTTTTGCCCACCCTTCATGCTGCCCCTTAAGCCTGCCATTTAATCAGAGCGTATTTTATTTCGCCGAAGACAATCGAGTGCCCTGGAACACATTTTTCAATTGTTTACTCCCCAAAGGGGCCCATATGCTGGTTTTCTTTCCACCCATCAGAGCGTGTTTATGCCAGCGACGAACAAGCTTTCTGATTCCATCAGCAGGAAAGTGGTGTTCGACAGTGAGGCTACCGCGACATTTGTTAGATTTCACATGTGCACTTGCGCTGCCCCCACCAAGGACATCTCACTGCGTGAGCAGCTGAGGAGCGGGCTCGGGAGATGATGGATGGCAGCTGTTCGGGGCTGTCCACACAGCCTTCAGGAGGCGCTGAGCTGCGCTGGCCCTGACAGTTCAGAGCCACACAGCTTCCTCCCTCCCTCTGCGATTCTGGAAGATGCATAGCCTTTTCTAAATGGTCAGCAACAACTGCCCAGCGAGGGCAGCTGGCAGGGTGGTCAGCATTGCCCATGCCACACCATTCCAACCCCAGTCCAGCAGTCCTGGTCCCCAGTAATCTGAATAGGCAAGGTTGGAGTCCTAGCTAGAAGTCTCAATGCAAAGATTTCAACCCATCAAAATGCCCCATGTAGAAAAAAATAAAATGCTGGGTGCATGGTTTGTGTGACGCTGGTCAGCTGGGTCTTGTGGCTTTAGAGAGTAGCAGGTTTCCTGAAAAAGACGGTTTCCAGGACTTGAAAAACCATGAGAGGAGCAAAGGCACCTCTCTCTGATGTCTGTAAACTGTGAAAGCTTCCCTGCTTCTGCTCTGCTGACCTCTCCCAGTTTGTGCTCTTTGGCCCATTTCCAAGTCAGCTCCTCATTCATTTCCACCAGAAATCCAGGCACATGGCAAACTTTGCATGTTGCTAAATGTACCAGGCATTCAGGAGGCTAGGACAGTGAGGTGGGGAGTGAGTGGGGGGTGGTGGTCCACCGACACACTGACTTAGTCTGTCCTTTTCCAGGTCTAGCTCCACACCCAAACTTTCAGGGTCTGTGTTTTGCTATTCATATTCCCTTCCCCCTCTTCCCTTCCCTATCCATGTAGCTACCCACCCCGCAGTGGTCTCCCCAGTCAGCTGATAGGAATTTTCACCAGGGTCTTCATTCAGGCATTATCCTAAGACAAATGTTCATACAAGCCACTAAGGGGAGGGCTGGTATCTGGCTTTGAGTGACCCACGTATTCCTAAATGCCACTCCCTGTCATGAAGTTCCCACTCTCTATGAACCCCAGTGCTGAGCAAGCACATTTGGAGTCACAGCCACACAAAACAAACAAAGAAGCTAAAGGTCTGGCCATTAGAAATGACAGCACTGGGCTCTGAGTCTCACCCCCAACCCCCAGTAAGACACACATTTTGCTACACTGCTGACATCACACTGGCTAAAATGCTGGGCCCCACTGAGCCACAATCCCAGCATTCAGACCGCAAAGATGGTCTGCAGCTCAATGCGAGAGGACATTGCTCATTGCTGAGAATCGCTTCTGAGCCCCCGAGCATCAGGGGAGACCTGGGGGTCCTTGGCAGCCAGCGCTGCCATCTGCTCACACATCCCTTGGCTGAATGTCACCGCGCGTTCTCTGGCTCAGTGTTACACATTAGGGAAGGCTTCGATTGAGGATCAGAAGGACCCTGCAACCTTCCCCAGCCTCAAGGCATTCTGGGAGAGTGACCTGGAAAATCAAATGTTGAGAAGTGTCCTGAAATAGAGGCATCTCATTTGAGGCGTAGGAGAACTTATTAGCTTGAGAAATTGGTCTGGAAATCTTATTAAAAGAGACAAATCGTTCTACGTTCTCACTAGACTAAAAATATTGGGGATAATAGACTTTCCCTGATGCCTTGGATCTATGTACCTCACGTCAGGATCTCAGCCAACCCTGGACCAGGCTACATTCAATGTACATAATATAGGCAATTTTTTTTGCTCATGTGCAGTTCTGATTAATTCTGATTTTGCTGGCCAGCCACAGACTTATCTGTCCTAGTCTCTCATTACTGTGAAGGTTGAAAAGCAGCAGAGTCAATGGCAAAGAGAAATGAAGTTCAAGTTGTGAATCTCTCATTATTGCACAGCTCAGCAAATTATTGTCCTGTCACAGAATTCCCTTTGTCCAGATACATACATGTGTGTGCATACACAGAGACACACAGACACCCACACTTCAAATCCTTCCTCAGGATGGTCAGTTAATTTCACACACACACACACACACACACACACACACACACACGCACACACACAGACCATTCTTTCTCAGTATAATTTGCCCAGACGCTTTCTCTCTCTCTCTCTCTCTCTCTCTCTCTCTCTCTCTCTCTCTCTCTCTCTCTCTCTCTCCAGTATTCTCAGTTAACCACCCTGACACACACATACATAGATACATACCACCTCCTTTCTCAGTATAATTCCCCAACAGAGAGAGAGAGAGAGAGAGAGAGAGAGAGAGAGAGAGAACGTTTTCTATCTCAGTATGCTCAATTAAGCCCTGATAGAGATGCAGAAAAGCAGGGTACCACTGCATGAGGTCATTGACCCTTGCATGTCTTTGCCATTGAAGAGGCATGATAAGAAATCCGGGCCGGGGATGTTGCTCAGTGAGAGAGCACTTAACTTTGTGTGTGAGGTTCTAAGTTAGATCCTCAGCACTGCAACAAAAGAAAAAGAGGAAGACTCCTTCACATAGATGTGATAGCAATGGTCAGTGTGGGGGTTAAGGTGAGCTTTGAGAATAACATGAACCCTGGAGTCCTGTGGGTGCTTACTTCATACCTGGCTCTGTGCATTGCCTCCTTGGTCCTCAGGAAGAGGTTCTAGGACAGAAGTGCAAACCAACTCTGAAGGAGCTTCGAGGAATTAATCGAGGCTTTGGACTATGTTACTGTTGAACTGTACTACTCATGGATGCAACAGTTGTAAACCAGTTGGGACAGCTGTGTTTGCTTCACCAAGCCTAGGAGGGGCTAACTGTGGGCTGCAGGCTTAGAGAGCCAGCTTTACTCCAGGCGAAAACATCATTCTGATGCTGGAATTTGGATTTCCTCCTTAAGGAAGATGGGAGATGGGTCCTGTCTACTCTTCTGTCTTGTTCAAGTTCTGGTAGGAAGAGAGGAAATTCCCCAATGAAAGTTTCCTGTCATCTAATGGTCTGCTTGAACACCCTGCATCTGTCAAAAGGCCCCCGGACTTCCCTGGGTCGCCCCTGTCTAGCTCTCTGCCACCCTGGGGTAAGTCCTGAAGTCACAGGCTCCCTCCCTAACGGCTCTCTGAATCCTGATGTATTTCAGCTATGTCTTGGCCTCAGTCCCAATGAATCTCCTTCTAGCTCATGACCTCATGTTGCCCTGATCTTAGCTGTCCACTGTGTCCCAACATAGGGGACTGTATTTCTGGATAGGCTCCATATTCACAGCTGGGGAGAACCAGGTATTTGAAGAAGCAGATCTTATCCCACGCTGAGCTACACCCTCCTATGACCTCCCTCAATACTCTTGCCCCAACTAAAGTCATCAGGGGGATCCAGTATCTGTCTCCCCTTCTTGATAACATCTGTTGGCTTCAAGAACCATTTATGGTCTGAAAGCAGAGTGTCTTGATACCTGCATTGTTGGTACTTGAGGGCAAATGGAAAATGGGAGTGGGAGGAGGGGAGAGTTAGCCTGTGTACTCGGGAATGCTTCTCTCCATCCTGACTGCTACTCACTACCTGTGGTGATCATGAGAAATGTTCTGAAGGCAGAAGGCAAATTTGATGCAAACCACAGTCTCAGACTAAAGGGACTGGTTGCTTTTTGTTCTCAACCATACTGTCCAGTTCCTAATTCCAGGAAAACATGAAAATCCACAGGTGAGTTATTGCCATTCCCTGTTACCTTCTCTTTGATGCAGGAGCAGCTTTCTCACCCCCATTATATGTGAAAATGAGACCTAGCTCACAGCTGAGAAGCAGCTGAGTCCCAATTTAAACCCATGCTTGGCAGGTGCCAAAGCCAAGATATGTGTATGTGTATATATGCATATGTATATATTTTTCTTATAAAAACTGCTCGTGATCCAAACATGAAATGAGCATTCTGAAAGTTTTCTGAGAACAGAGTAAAGTTCTCTGACTGACAGGAGTGAAAATCAGAGATTGTATTCCCCCTTGCCTCTGAATGTTCTAATTCTGACTACTGCAGTGCTTGAGGGAAATAACCAATTATTCTCCCCACTTTTACAGAAGAGGTAACTGAGATCCATCAAACCTAACAAGTGATTTGAGATGGGCAGGACAAGAAAGGACTTTTCAGCCCAGAATCTAAGTTTCCAAAGCCCTGACTGCCTCAACAGCCCAAAACTAAACAACATGAGTAGTTATGCCCCATGAACCCTAGGTCCACTTTCCTCCATGGTGTTCTCTCTCCCTTTGTTGCCTGGTATCCTTCAGACAAGCAGAAAAGCTTGTTGATAGATAGGACAACAATCCCCCAACCCACTCACACCACATACATACACCCCCGCCCCCCCCCACACCCCACACACACTTACACCAGCCTCCACTTCTGTCTGTGTCCTCTCTCCTTGTCACAGCTCTGTAAGCAGTACTGGCCTGAGAAGACTTCGGGGTGCTATGGACCCATCCAGGTGGAGTTTGTGTCAGCAGACATCGATGAGGACATCATCCACAGAATATTCCGCATCTGTAACATGGCCCGAGTAAGTGTTGGTGCATCCCCATTGCCATACCCCACCTCCGGGAAGCAGATGGAGGATCTGGTCTGCAAGCCAAGAATCTGTACTCCTAGCAGTGCTATTGCATGGAAGGTGGAGTCCTTGCCCACGAGTTTTTAATCCCACCCTTACTGGTGCACCGGGTGTCCCCAGTCCACCATCTACCTATCTCCCAACACCCAAAACTTCTCAGAAATTAAAGCTCCTTCACTGGGCCACATCTTCTGGAAGGAATTGGTGCTGTCTTTGATTGGACTTAGGAAGCTCTGGGCTGGGGCTGGAGAAAGAGGACAGTGGGCAGGACACTTGACTTGCACGCAACAACCCAGGTTTGATCCCCTTCATCCTATAGCATCCTTCAAACATCTCTGGGAGTGATCCCTGAGCTCAGAACCAGGAGTAGGCGCTGAGCATAGCTGGAAGTGGCCAAAAACAAGAAAAGGAAGCTTAGGGCTAGCCTCTGGGAACACCAAGAAAAAAAATAGTGAATTGCTTCTGTAAGGAAAATTACTGAGGAGTGGGTGCAGTATTAGGAGGGAGCAGATTAGTCAGCAATAAAAATGCTGCCTAAATAAAACAACTTTGGTCTATATTGGACACCCTGGGGAAACAGCTCAGTTCATGCCCTGAGTTTACTATCTAAGGGGATGGTTCTGGTCTAATGCTTCAGAGAAAGACATCGACTCTGCCCAATAGTCAAGGAAGGCTTTTCTAGAAAAACAGACATTTTGGCTGGGTTTTTAAGACAGGATAAGAGTTTTCCTGGTAGAGACAGAGTTCAGGGAGGGATGTGACTCTCACTGAAGACATTATTTAGGCCTCCTTTAGTGTTATCTTCCTGCACAATATCGTAGCATCCATGGTATTTGGGGGCCTACATCCTTAGCCCTTCACCCCATCCCAGCAGAGCAACCCTAACAGCTCCTCTATTCTCAGCCCCAGGATGGGTATCGCATTGTCCAGCATCTCCAGTACATTGGCTGGCCGGCCTACCGGGACACACCCCCTTCCAAGCGTTCGCTGCTCAAAGTGGTACGACGGCTGGAGAAGTGGCAAGAGCAGTATGATGGAAGGGAAGGCCGCACAGTGGTCCACTGCCTGTGAGTATGCTGAAGGGTCATTGTGGCAACAGGGAAAGAGGTCAGAGATATCTGGGAGAAGACAGCTGGCCACAAACCCTAGTATTGGGCATATGCTAGTTCTGTCTCTGCTACATCCCATCAAGGCCAATGGGGTGTATCCAAGGAATGCTGATCCTTCAACAGACAGGGATGCCCATGAGCTGTGCTCATGTAGCTCTGATGCTTCCCGCTCGCACAGTAGCCACGCAGGCCTCTTCCAGGAATCCCCACTGGGAGGGGGGCCTCATGTATGAATAGGAAGCTTTATATGCCTTTCTCGTCACAAGAAAGCCCAAGATGAAGTGAGTTACAGAGATTCTCTTCTGTCATCTCCTACAGAAGAGAAGGGAGATAGTACAGTGCTTAAGACACAGTCCTATCTTGCAGCTGACCCAAGTTGAGTTCCCCCAGGTTCAATCCTCAGCCCCTCATATGGTCTCCTGAGCACTTCCAGGAGTGATCCCTGAGTACAGAGCCAGGAATTAGCCCTAAGCAAAACTGGGCCCCCCACCACCACCAGAAAAAAAGATAGGGGATGAATGGATGAACTCATGCTTCATACATGAAGTTGGAAGCTGGACATAAATCCCTTCCTTCATCTGAGAGACAGATACAGACACCATTGTGCAGCAGGGAACTAACTTTGGCAAATGCAGACCAAGGAGCAGGCAGAGACCAACAAGATTTGATCTGAATCCCCAGGGCTCCATGCTCATGACTGTCTATTAATTACTCTGCTCTGAGTAAATCCAAGGATTTACTAGTCCACCATCAGCTTACCAGGGCAGTCCCTAGTCTGGATGTAGAGGGAACACAGGGACCATGGGAATCCAAGAAAAGTCTCCAGGCTCTGGAACACTGTCTCCCAGAGTACAGCAGGCACAGACCTGATGCAAACTAGTTTTACCTCCTATCATAGACTGGACGTAGCCAGTGTGCCAGGGTCCCATTTAAGTGCTCTCTGATGCTGTCCTGTGGCACAGAGGTCAGAACCCTAAAGGAAGGAGACTTACAAGCTATTATCAAAATTAGTCACTTGGTGTTGAGCCTTCGTGTTCTCTTCTGTCCAGTGGGTATATGGAAGTAGAGCATCTTAACAACCAGCCAATAGCACTTTAGCATGAAAGAGGTAGAAAATAAATAGAATATATTAGCCAACATGGTGATTCACACAGTCATAGAGGCATATATGTGAAAATACTGTCTATCATATTACTCCAAAGTCTAGTACTAGGGTAGTACTGTGGAGTGAATGCCCATCAAGAACAGAGTCTCCATCCACTGTGTCACTGACTTGCACAGATTCGTATGGTCTCTTAGAACCTAAAACCATTTGGGATGAGGTGACTGAGATGTTATTCTTTCAAACCAAGGTAAGTGTCAACCAAGGTCTTCTGTTTGTCAAAATCACTGTCTGGATCCAGTGGAATCATGGATGACATCTCACTGACTCCAGAATTGAGTTCACCCTTTCCAAACACAGCTACTTACTGTTTCCCCCACCCCTTTTGTGTAGGTGGTATACACCCATCAGGGAGATCTGGGAGCTTAAAGAGTTCTTAAAGTTTAAACACACATACACACACACACACACATACACACACACACTGAAGGGAGACCCCTGTGACAGTCTTCCCTGGCACTGAGTCCAGGAAGCAGTTGTGAGCTGTCACATGTCAGGTGGATAGATGACTTCAGTCAGACCAAGCTGGCTCTACCCACACTCCAGATCCTGGCAGTTTGTCTCCTGCAAATGACCCCTGTTCTCACCAGTGTGTGTGTGTGTGTGTGTGTGTGTGTGTGTGTCCGTCCCCTCATTACCATAGAGCCACGTGAAGTCCATCTTGGTCACACTATGGCCTAGATCCACTCACCTCTTCCTCTGTTGTTCTTGATTCAGAAAATACTGATCCCTCCTTTCTGGTTGTTGGGGTGTGGGCAGAGCAGAGGTCTGCCTACTCTTTCCCATATGGTTGGTTTTTTGGCTTGCTCTCCTGCAGAAATACCTTTCCACTCCATGTCTTCAATAGCCAAGGTGGCCAGTGGTTTGAACGGAAGGAAAGCACAAAGCTATTCTTCTGTTCACAAAGTCCTTGTTATTCTGGGGGCCCAAGACACCAAAACAGGCACAGCTGTGCAGGTACTGGCCTGAGGGGGCAAGGAAGTTTTCTGTACTTGAAACATCTGGATGTGGGGTGTTCTGCAGATCAAACATCTGGGAGGTTAACCAAGCACCTTAGTTATTCTCCAGATGTTCTTTAGACACAGACCATTACAGGAGATCATGAGTTGCTCTTGGCAACATGCCCAGAAGTTCCAAGTCAGGCAGTTTCCTAATGGGACTTTCCAGAAGAAGTCAAGGGGTTGTTGAAAGAAGATGGCTTGTGGACCATCCAAAAGAAGCAATAGCAGAGGAAGGATCCTGCCAAGAACCTTCTGTCCCTGTTTCCTAGATCAGTGGGGTATTGAATAAAATTGGATGTCCTATCATTTCAGGATATGACATCATAGACCCAGCCCAAGCCTCCCCACTCTAGACCGGCTGACCCTAAACTGACAGAGATATCTCTCGTATTGCTGTCCTTGGCAGATGAAAGGACATGGCAGGTGGAAGGAACTGGGGGTGGAGGGGAGGGAGGAAAGGAGGAGGCAGTCACCTAGAACTGACAATTTTCTTCACTGGATGTGTAGATGGACCCAAAATATTCTTTAGGAGAAGGATGCCGGCACCAAACCTACAAAAAAATTATGATTTTTGTCTGGGTTTGGATCTATGTGTCAGGGCTGACTGACATGCTCATAGAACCAAGTAAGCATTGGGTTAATTCAGCTCTTCAGGGCCACCAAGCCCAACACCTGCATTAAAGGTTCAGGGGACTTAGACCTCAGACACAGAAGGAGACCTGCCCAAGGCCAGTGCATTTTCCTGACATAGATGAGTCTCAAACTGTGACTCATGGCTCAGGTTACAGCTGTGAGCAGCCCCCTGAACTTGCATCTCTGGCCCTCACTCCACTCCACAGGGGACTTTAGGATCCATGGGTAGTTGGGGTTCCAGGGAAGTTGGCTCACCTCTTGACTCTGTGTTTAGAAATGGGGGAGGCCGCAGCGGAACATTCTGTGCCATCTGCAGTGTGTGTGAGATGATCCAGCAGCAAAACATCATTGATGTGTTTCACATCGTGAAAACATTGAGGAACAACAAGTCCAACATGGTGGAGACCCTGGTGAGTTGCCCAGGACCATCTCCCACTGGGAGGAGAGGATGATGGATGCCCCCAATAGTAGATAGTGAAAATCTACAGCAGCTGGGTGCTGACTAAGCACCCAAGGTCTGGTCGGCTCTGCCACCCTCCCTTCTAGACTCATCGACTTCTCCCTTCCAAGCAGTTCAAAAGCTGATCCCCCTGCACCCTGTTTTGTCTTACTGTTGCCCATTCTTAGCAAAGCATTAGCCTTCGGGCACATGAGGAGGGGTCCTGGGAGAGGAGAGAGGGGCCAATGTTTTCAGTATGCTTCAACCCTCTTTGAGATCACCAATGCTTGTTTTTATGGGAGAAAACACAGTGCTAAGACACTAAAGAAGGGGATAGAAAGAGATTTGAAGGGGTGGAGGGTGCAGAATCTCCTCAGCCCCATTGTTAAGCTCTGGAGCAGTCACGATCACAGTCCTCACCCTCAAGATTCTAACTCGAGGCTTCAGTCCTTGTCAGAGTGAGGCTCTGCTCAAAGAATGGTCCATGGACCAGTGGTAGCAGTGACATGTGGGAGCGTGTTAAAAATGCAGGTTCCAGGGGGCCCCCTTCTGATTTACAGAATCAGGTGTGCAGCAGGGTTTGAGAAGTCCCAGCGTCCAGCACAGGACTGAGGAGCTAAGCTCTGCCTGGCTGGAAACAAGCAATGGGCAGAACCGGAAGCAGCCTGGCAGGTGGCAGACCAGTTTGAATTATCTGTTTAGACATATGTAATTGTAACTCTAAACAAAATGCCTTCTCTCCTTTTTGTCCCTCATGTTACCCCCCCCCCCTTCCTCCTTACAGGAACAGTATAAATTTGTATACGAGGTGGCACTGGAATATTTAAGCTCCTTTTAGCCCAGTGGGATGGGAACCTGCGTGCGGAGGTGGTGCAGCCCCGCCCCCATTTCTGTGAATGTGAGTGACTGGGACCAGGGGGCGAAGAGGGGGCACCCGGCCCGGCCAAGGAGAAGACTGGCAGCCTGCAGTGGGATGTGCATCTGGAGCGGAGACTCTGCCCTGCTCACCACAGCCCAGACCTCCCTCGCCTCCAGGCCCACCGGAAGTGCCCCACAGCAAGGTCCCAGGTTTCTTGGCTTCCCGACTTCTCGCTTTCACTCTTCTAAGTGTGTGAATCTTGTGGCACGAGACCGTGTGGGCACTCAGCAGCATCCTTCTCAGCCCCCTTCTCCTGGAGAATGGAGTTGGGGGTGCCTTCCTCTCTCCATGGCAATGTTTGACTCAAGGGTCCTGTTCTGCTGCTCCTTGTCCCTACAGAACTTAACTCCAGGGACTCTAGCACCAACCCTGGCCCTGACCTGTCTGGATTCGTGTGACTTCAGGATGCCTCGGACACCAGCGGCGAGGCTCCAGCCAGCAACACTGGAACTGCATGGGCTTTGATGGCCCCCCTCCCCCAACCCACCCCCATTCTGCACTCCACCCCCACCCTCACCTTGGCCTCTGTCACTCCCCGGGCTGGCGTTGGGGGGGTGTGGTTTCCATCACTGTGGGGTGGTCAGTGGGAGGGGCTGATGTTGCAGGACCCTTGCTGTCCTCTGATCTTTGAGAACCAGGACACCTCCCTAGAGTGGAGTCCTGGTCAACTTTGTATCTCTTTGGGGGGGGGGAGCCCCTTCGTTTGGGGCTGAAATTTGATCCTTTGCCAAAGTATAGGTGGAAAGAAACTTTTGGCAGAGGGAAATGCATATAAAACGCGTCAGAGAAAATGCCAGAAAGGGAAGCTTGACTGTAGCTGTAAGACTGGTTGCTGGGCCCTGTTAGTGGCTGGGAGGAGCCCTTCGGAGTCTCCCCAACCCCCACACATGCCCCAGGACAGGACAGCTGCTGAGCAAGGTATCCTGGGCTGACTGAAGAGGGGCCTGCGCTTTCAGGGGGGTTATAGAACACTTGCTGGGGCATTGGCCTAGACTGTTCAGTATGCGAACCGAGCCGCGAGCTTAGGACAGACCAGTGCAGGCCCACTGACATCTGAGTTTCAAATGGGCCCCAAGAGGAAGGTGAGGGCTTTGCCCAAACATGTTGGGTCTATGAAAGGAAACCATCGTTCACTGTGTCCTCACTCAGGCCTGGCTCTTTATACATGGCATCTCACTGACCTTAGACCTCTCTAGCCCGACCCCGTCTGGGAGAGCTGTAAACCTGCTCTCCACTGAACAATGGGGGCACCTGCCTTGGTGATGTGGTTCTGGATTCCATATAGATAGAGAAGGGCAATGAAACTACTTTGTAACATTTCTGTTTATCTCTCTTCACTGAGCAGTTCTTTTTAATGAAGAAGTTAAGGCCCAAGACTTGGGAGCCAAGGACTCCTCACATGGCCATTTCATTCTTCCCGAGGCACGTCCCTTTGGCCAGCTGGGCACCCATATGTGTTAGTAACTCATTCCCTGCTCCAGGGCCGAGCTGCTCTACTCTTCTATCTTCCCCTCCTCTCCCATGCTCTCCTCTCCTCTCCCCTCCCCTCCTCTCCTCTCTTCTTCTCACCCCTCCTCTCTCTCTCTCTCTCTCTCTCTCTCTCTCTCTCTCTCTCTCTCTCAAAGGGCTGCCTGCTCCCTGGGCCTGCCAGCCCCAGGTGGCCTGGGAAGCTGCATGCTCCATCCTGGAGGATGATTCAACCCCACACGGAGCAGGAGGAACTCATAATTTAGAAGCCCCATTCTTACCCTCAAGGACTGTGGGCAGGGGCAGTTGAACCATGGAGTACTGAGGGGTACTGAGGCCTGAGCATAGGAGCATCAGATGAGCATGTTGGAGAGGTTTCTGAGAGCTTCCTAGAGGCAGTCTCATCCATTCTCAGCAAATGGGAAAAGGAAGCAGGAGTCCTTTATATGCAATTTGCAGGGATCCCAAATGAGGGCTGGTGGGATGATGGGAGTGAGCCTGGCTGGAGTGTGGCAGGGCAGGGGATATAGCTGGAGTTGGGGAGAAGAATGCTCCTGCAGTCTTTGGCCTCCTAAGGCTGCCAGGAGCCCATGAATCTTGTGAGTGGTATGCTTAGCTATGGGTTGGAAAAGGTCCCCTCAGAGCTGGGGAGTCCTCTACTCCGTTCCTGAGACACTGTGAAAACACCCCCCCAAAGCGTGCAACTTTTCTAGGAAACCTATTTGTCTGTCTGCTCATTGTTTTGTTGCTGGAACAAAATAATCAGTGGGCCACTTGTGGGATAAACCAGGTCTTAGCTCCACTTCGGAGCTGGGTGAGCCTCCCTGGACTCTGGGGTCAAGAGGATGAGACTCTAAAGAGACCATAGAAGTTTCTCGATGGGTAGGGGTCCTGCCTAGAACTCTCTTCATGGTCAGGGATGCCAGGCTTGATCATAGGTGCGCTGTCACTTGGAGGCTCAAAAGCAAAAGTCTCAAACCCAAGGGAAGGGAGGGAGGAAGGGGAGCCTCCCTCTCACCTTTTGATGGAACTCCTCCAGGAGTCCACAACAGGCCATGGTTCAGCTCCCACTGGCCCAGCCGTCCCCAACTTCAGTCACTCCCACAAACCAGCCCACACACCCACCCTGCTTCCCCCCAGACTTCAGACAGCCTGGAGCAGGGTTCATTCACCTATTTCATGCCATTTCCTCCCATCTGGGCTAATCCACACAGAATGGCTTTGAGAGTCCAACACAGGTCTGAGGACTTCTTCTATTGAGGAAGGGGCTTCTCTCATTCCCAGTGATGGGAGTTTAAAACTTGGCTTTGGTGAGAAGGGAAATTGCCAAACCTCAGGTTGCAGTGGGGTAGACAACCCAGCCAGGGTTGTGGCAATGCTCCTTGCTCAATCCTTCCCTTGGTCCTCACAACCCAGCCCACTCTGCAGAGAAGGCAAGGCAGGGAAGAGTGTGAAGGCAAGTGGACACAGGAAGAAACAGTCACAGAACAAGGTGCCTTTCCTAAGATCCCAGATAGCCAGAACATGGCAGGGCTTGGAGGAGAGAGATCACTGGTAGATTGCTTTCCCAGAAAATCTCCTGAGCAAACACTATCTTCACTGAGGTCTCCCTTACACCCCCATCCAACCCACCCCCTGTAGAACACAGCAGACAAGAGCATAAATGCTCTCTGGGTCCCCAAAGAAGGAAGCAGACACTCTCTTACCCTGGAACCAAAGACAGGACCTCCCTTATCACTGAGCCTTGCTTCCTCCTCTCCTGGATGGAGGCCCTGTTTGGAGATAATATAAGATGCTGATGAGAAGCCAGGAATGGTACTCACCACCAGGTGAAATGGCTGAGGGACTGAGCTTCCTTCTGTCCCTTCAGCTTTTCTGGTGCAGTGGTTCCTGGGTGTGGGGGCTTTCCAGTGCCACCACAGCCCTCCCATTCTGAGAAGGGCTCTCTCTGCTTTCTCTGTGTACCTTCTCTTATGGTGAGGCCCAAGCAGTGACTGCCAGATGTTATCACGTGCTATCATAAGGCCATGTGCTGGGGATATCTAGCAAACTCACTGAATTCTACTTGGAAGGGATTTGTGGTGGTCCCTATTTTATAGATGATGAAAGTGGGGTTCAGAGGGGATAAATCAAAGAAGTGCCCACAACCAAGAGTAGGAAACAAAGGAGTCAGAATGTAACTGGGTGGAAGTCAGGATATGTCACTCTCTTCCCTCATCTGTTCCTTGGTAATAATGATCAGAGGGAAGCAGTGGATCTGGAAATGCCTAAAGCCAGACCACAGTGAACTTAAAAATCCTTCTGGCACAACTTTTATTTTAATAATTTGTGCAATATTTGCACATATGCCAATTTAGTCCAAGCTGAGTGTGACTTTTTTTTTCAAACCAAGTGTCCTGCTTCTCCTATAGTTTTGATGCTCTGCCCCACCATGATGAACCCTGGTGAATAATATTCCAATGTGAGAGTCACAATGTCCTCTCAGCATGCTGCTTCCTCCAGAGGCCAGTGGCAGACTCATTTATTCATTTACAACCTGCTCATTTACTGCTGGGCAGACCCATTGGTGCAGACCCTTATACCAGACCATGGGTTGGCCTCAGTTCAAGGGGCTCAGTCAGAGGCTAGAAGGAACCCTTAGACTTGTACTGGAATGATGAGGTCTCACCCCAGAGCATCATAAAGGCTGGGTCCATAAAACTCCATAAGGTAAGGAGAAGTTGGACCTAGTTTCACTCAACCGATTCCCAAATGCTGGGGCTTCTCTGTCCAGGTGGGGCATGTGGCTGCTAATGTGGGCAAATCTGAAGGTATACTTCACATGTATGGGGCTGAGGTCTGGATGTTCTTCCCTCTCCTTCACCCATACATACCTACTGAGTTCCTATAACTCTCAGGAAAGGGACCTTGATGTGGTGTTACTGGGAAGCACAGGTTACTTTAGCACAGCTCATTCCCTAGGGAATAGGAGAACAAGCAATTTGATTTGAATCTCAGGAGGATCATTTGTTGGCTATATTAATGTTTGAGAGATCAGGGCAGGAAAATCAGAAGGCACGACCAAGAAATTGGAACCCAAGAGAAATCATCACAACTAAGGCTGAACAGGGTAAAAATAGTTCCCTCTATGATGACAAGCAGGACAGGACTAGGCAAAGACTAGTAATTGAACCACTTGGAGTAAATAGGGTATGCTTTAGAACATGTCTCACTTGTCTGGAGAAAAGATGATTATGTTCCCTCTGGCCAATTGTGTTTGTTCCTTGTTTCCCTTTGCTTTGCTAGTTCTTTCTACGCATCCTCACCAGGATTCACATTTCCTGCTCTGGGGTGCATGTATAGAGGTGTCCATCTAGCAAGTTTCCAGGGATGACGGAAGTGAGGCTCAGGAAAATACTAAACATGCCACACTATGGAAATAACTACCCAACTTAGGTCCACAGAAGGTATAGAAATAATAATTCCCCATGTACGTCCTGCTTTAGCATGGAATGAAGAATTCCACCTTCCCGTAGCCTACAGCTGACCATCCCTGAGCTCAACAGATAGGTCATCTCACCAAACTGAGTCAGGAAGAATGCTAGGG